AAATAAATAAATAAAATATTTTTTAGAAATTCTGTGCTCATGGATTGGAAGAATCATCATAGTTAAAATGGCCATATTACCTAAAGCAATATACATAGAAGTTCAATGGCTTTAATGTTATCTCCATTAAAATCCCAATGGCAGCCATGGCCTGTGTGGCTTAATTGATTACAGTGTCATCCTGTAAACCAAAAAGTCACCAGTTGCATTGCTGGTCAGGACACATGACTTGGTTGTGGGGTGGGTCTCCTAGTACCCACTGGGGCATGAGCAGGAGGCATTTTCTCTCATATCCATGTTTTTCTTCCTCTCTCTCTCCCTCCCTTCCCCTCTCTCCGAAATCAAAGGGCATATCTTTGGGTGAGAATAATAATAAATGAATGAATGAATGAATGAATGAATAAATAAAATCTGAACTTATGCCAAGATGAAGGCTTAGGAGGAAGCACTGTGCCTTCTCACACAACCAAGTTTAAAAACAACAAAATTTTAGCAACAAAAATGCAGCCAAACCACAGAAAATTTAACTATATGGAAGTCTGACAACAACGAACCCTTCAGCCAAACCGGTAAGAGGGGCAGAGCCAGCAGCAGAGCGAGGTTGGGCAGGAAAGATCCATCAGACTGACCGGGATGCTTGACCCAGGCATGTAGGTAGCCGTGGGTGGATCCCAGGTGTGGAGTAGTGGGCAGACCCACTGAGGGCGAAAGGCGGTGGACTCATTGAGGGCTGACCACGGTCACATATTTGCACGCAAATAAACTGGTGAAGGAGAGAGCGGTGAGACAGACCGTGCAGGCCCCAGTGGTGAAAAGCGGCAGAGGGGACCACCATTGTCCCTCTCTGGCCCACCCCCACATACAGTATCACAAACCAGCGACCTGGGTGGCCCCGCCCTGGTGAACACCTAAGGCTCCACCCCTCATACATAACAGTGCGAACGGACCAAAAATGGCTCAAGAAGATCTCAAAGCCCCAGAGCCCATAAATCTAAGCAATGAAGAAATAGCCAAACTTTCAGATGCACAGTTCAAAACATTGGTGATCAGGATGCTCACAGAACTGGTTGATTTTAGTCACAAATTAGAGGAACATATGAAGGCTAAACAAATTGAAATGAATGGAAATGCACAGAAAAACCAATAGTAATGGAAAGGAAACTGGGACTCAAATCAAAGGAGTGGAACAGAAAGAGGGAAAAAATGACCAAACAGAAAAGGATGAAGAAACAAGAATTCAAAAAAAATGAGGAGAGGCTTAGGAACCTCCAGGACATCTTTAAACGCTCCAACATCCGAATTATAGGGGTACCAGAAGGGGAAGAGGAACAGCCACCAGTGGAAAACTTATTTGAACAAATAATAAAGGAGAATTTTCTCAATCTGGCAAAGGAAATAGACTTCCAGGAAATCCAGGAAGATCAGAGAGTACCAAAGAAGTTGGACCCAAGAAGGAACACACCAAGGCACATCATACATTACATTAGCCAAGATTAAAATGAAGGAGAGAATCCTAGAAGCAGCAAGAGATAAGGGGACAGTCACCTACAAAGGACTTCCCATCAGACTGTCAGCTGATTTCTCAAAAGGGACCTTACAGGCAAGAAGGGGCTGGAAAGAAGTATTCCAAGTCAGGAAATCCAAAGACCTACATCCAAGATTGATCTATTCAGCAAAGCTTTCATTTAGAATGGAAGGACAGATAAAGTGCTTCTCAGATAAGATCAAATTCAAGGAGTTCATCATCACCAAGCCCCTATTATATGAAATGTTAAAGGGACTTAACTAAAAAAAAAAAGAAGATAAAAAAGATGAACAGTGAAAGGACAGCAAACTCACAGTTATTAACAACCACACCTAAAACAAAAGCAAACTAAGAGGACAGCTAGATCAGGAGCAGAAACATAGAAATGAAGATCTCATGGAGGGTTAGCAACAGGGGAGTGGGAGAAGGAGAAGGGGGGAGAAGGTACAGAAAATAAGTAGTATAGATGGTAGGTAGAAAATAGATAGGGGGGAGGGCAAGAATAGTATGGGAAATATAGAATCTAAAGAACTTAAGACAGGTGGTCATAAACTAAAGGGGGGAATGCTGGGGGAGGGGTGTGCAGAGTAGAGGGAAATGAAGGGGGGAATAGAACAACTGTAATGGCATAATCAATAAAATATATCTTTAAAAATCTGAATGGCATTTTTCAAGGAAGTAGAACAAGAAATGATCAAACTTGTATGGAACTGCAAAAGACCCCAAGTAAACAAAATAATCCTGAGAAAAAAGGACAAAGCCAGAGGTATCACATTTCTTGACTTCAAATTATACCACAAAACTACAATAATCAAACCAGTACAGTATTGGCAGAAAAACAAATACACAGAGCAGTGGAACAGAATTGAGAGCCAGATATAAACCTAGATGTATATGGGCAACTAATTTTTGACAAAGGAACCAAAAATGTACAATAGAGAAAAGAAAGCCTCTTCAATAAACAGTGTTGGGAAAATCAGACAGCCACACACAGAAAAATGAAAGACTATTTACACCATACACAGAAATTAACCCCAAATGGATTGAAGACCTAAATATAAGACCTGCCACAACGAAATACACAGAAGAAAACATAGGTACTAAATTTATGAACCTTGATCTCAAAGAGGATTATGAAAAAGCAAGGGAAATAAAAGCAAATATAAATGAATGAGACTACATCAAACCAAAAAGCTTTGCACAGCAAAAGAAACCATCAACAAAACAAAAAGTCAACTAACCAGTACAGCATAGGATATATAGTCAATAATACTGTAATAACTTTGTATGGTAACAGGTGTGTACTTGAAGTATCGGGGGCATCACCTTGGAAATTATATGGTTATCTAACCACTATCCTGTACACCTGAAACTAATATAAAGTAATATTGAATGTCAACTATAATTGAAAAATAAAAATGTTTTAAATTTAAAAGAAACAACAACGAAAAAAGTCAACCAACTGAATATTTGCAAACAATATATCCAATAAGGGGCTAATATCCAAAACATATAAAGAACTCATGCAACTTAAACACAACAAAGGACAAACAATCTTACTTAAAAGTGGGCAGAGGACCTGAACACTTTTCTCTAGAAGACAAATGGTCAACAGATATATGAAAACATGCTCCACTTCACTAGCTATAAGGGAAATGTAAATTGAAACCACAGTGAGATATCACCTTGCACCTGTTTGAATAACTATTACTAATAAGACTAGAAATAAGTGTTGGAGAGGATGTAAAGAAATAACAACTCTCAGACATTGCTGGTGGGAATGTAAACTGATGCAGCCGCAATGGAAAGCTGTATGGGTGTCCCTCAAAAAATTAAAAATACAGTTACTGTATGACCCAGCAATTCCTCTTCTGGGTAACTTATCAAAATATTGAAAACATTTACTCATTAAGATATATGTACTCCTACATTCATTGCAGTATTATTCACAGTAGCTAAGACATGGTAACAACCTAAGAAGTATCCTTTTTTTAAAAAAATACTTTATTTATTATATTTATACAGAGGGGAAGAGAGGGAGAAAGAAAGGGAAACATCAATGTGTGAATACCTCTTATGTGCCTCCTGCTGGAGACCTGGCCCACGTGCCCTGACTGGGAATTGAACCACTGACCCTTTGGTTTGCAAGCCAGTGCCCAATCCACTGAGCTACACCAGCCAGGGCTAAGAAGTATCCTTTGATGAATGACTGGATAAAGATATGGTACACGTATACAATGAAATACTACTCAACCATAAGAGAAGATGAAACACTGCCATTTGTGACAACATGGATAGATCTTGAATATCATGCTAATCGAAGTAAATCAGATGGAAAAAAAAAAAAAGAACCATAGGATTTCATTCATATGGGATATAAACCAGAAAGCAACCAACAAACAAATAAACTCAGACACAGACAACAATATGAAAGTTACTAGAGGGGAAGGAGGTTGAGGGACAAAGTAAGTAAAGGGGTCCAAATACATGTATGGTGATGACAGAAGACTAGACTTTGGGTGGTGAGAACATAATGCAATTTACAGATAATTATAGGATTGTACACTTGAAACTTATATTCTGTTATTAACCAGTATCACCTCAATACTTTTTTTAAAAGGTTTTCTGGGGTGGGGCCTCTTTGAGTGGTGAGAGGAGATACAGGTCAGAGCAGAGACTGTGTAGGACGAGTATAAGAGGACATTGTGGAGCTCTTCTTAGTATGAGTTTCTCCAGAAGCAGAAGGTGAGGCAAGGATTTGAGATTTGGAAGAGACAAACGTTGGTAGGAGAGGCAGGAAGTAACACAAAGAAGGGAAAGCAGCCAAGAAAGAGTATGTTATTAAGCCAGAACCTCTGTGAGGAAAGTGGAGCTTATTTCTGTTGGGAAATTTTGAGAGACCTGGTACAACATGCACAGAGGTGAGGGACCTGGAATATCTACAACATATACCATCTCCTATCAGTCACTGATTGAAGGCTGTTAAGAGTGGGAAGTTTCATGAACTCCCTGGCAGTTAAGGCTTGCCACGCTCATATCACTGGTAGACAGGCACCAGTGGCCTGATAATGCCCACAGGCAAAGCTTCATGTGCTGGCATTGGCAATCAAACCACCGTGTGTTGATAGGGGGTGCATGACAAGATATGGACTTAGCACCCATAGCATCTGCTAGACACTCCCACCCAAGCACATTCATCTACCAGGGATGTCCATCCTGTGACCCATGCCCACATGCAGCCCAAGATGGCTGTGAATGCAGCCCAACACAAAATCATAAGTTTACTTAAAACATTACAAGATTTTTTTTGTGTGTGGTTACGTGTCACAATGTATTTAATGTGTGGGCCAAGACAACTCTCCCTCCAGTGTGGCCCAGGGATGCCAAAATGTTGAACACCCCTGATCACTACTCCCCAGCAAGGCACTGCAGCCACTCCCCAACACCAATGCCTCCAGAGATTAGACAATAACAGTTCTAGTCCAAATTGAGTTTAATAGGGAGTTTCAGGGAGGGATTCACTGGATGTAGAGGTCTGGGACTGGGGCCTGGCCAACTTTTGAATTAGAAAACAATGGGACCTAGGGGACTCTGATCCAGGAGAGTCCTCCCAAATCTCAGAGTTAAGGACCTGAAGAGGTTGGGGGTTCATCTTAACAGCTCTGCTAGGATGGTACTGGGGGCTGTTTCGAGATGCCTCAAATACCATGTAGGAGAATTACATCTCAGGTTCCAGGTATGAAAAGCTAAGTTAGGAAAGGGGGATTCTAAAAGATCCCAGTGGGGAAAGGGTTAGGGTCCAGGATGTTTCATAGAAACAATCAAGGGGCCTCGATTTCACAGAAATCATCAAGGGGGCTCCTTGTGGGTGGGGGAGGGATAGCACACCACCCCAAATGTTGGGGACTGTTTACCACCCCACCCCCAGCAGCCACTTTGGGGTTTTAATGTAAGACCTCCAATGGCAGGACATTCCACATACATTATCATGGATTTGCAACATTAGCATACGCTGGCTGTCCCACAGGACGGTGGGGACTGGAAAATCAGTCCAGGTTCTGGGTTTGAGTCCTAAGAGGACAGGCCTGGGGGTGCCATGCGGCTCCTCTTCAATAGCTGCCGGAGCTGTGAACAAGACAAGGCAGGAGATGTTTCAGAGGTTGCAAGAAGAGGTGGCAGGGGCACAGCTGGTGAACTTGGGGGTTAAAGAACAAAAGTGGAGTAGGGTCAATTGGGTTTGAAGATCAGAGATTCAGAGTCAAGATTTGGAGTTGAAGGTAAAGGTCTGGGTTCACACATTGAGAAAAGGCTCAGGAGCCAGAACTGGGGGTGAAGAGAAAGCTGTTGCTGGTTGGGTTTTCCCACCTTTGGTTTCCCACTAAGAACTCCCTGAGAGTTAAAGGGTAGAGACATAGAGTCAGAGGTCCATCCCATTTGGGGGTCAGGGGTCCCACTTTGAGGTCAGGACTCAGGGTTAGGGACAAGGAATTAAAGGTCGTATCTGGAGATTAAAGTCATCCTTGAGGTCAGAATTCAGGATTGGAAGTAGAGATCATACTTTGAGGTCAGGGTTGAAGTAGAGGTCAGGAGGAATTACCATTACAGGGTAAGAGATCAAATACTGAGGTAAGAGGTCACATTTTTAAGTCAGGGTTGGATAAGGATCAAGGTTACCTTCTGAGATTACAAGTAACCCTCTAAGGTCAGAAATGTATAGGGTTAGCAGTTCACCCTGTTAGGTCAGAGGCCACACAGCAATCAGGGTGGGATAAGTGCTCACCCCCTCAGGGTCCGGCCCAGACCGAAGCAGATGGACAGGCTGCTCATTCTCCAGGTTTCGAAGTGTTGGATCTGCCCCAGCTGCCAGCAGGCTCCGCACTATGGCCTCCTGGGGTGGGCCGGGGGGCAGGGCAGCTGCCATGTGGAGCGCTGTGTTCCCATGGGCCTGGAGACAGTAAGGGGGGGACTGATGACTCAGATTCAGCTGGCCTGGGCCTCAACATCACACTTCATGTTCTGCCACATCCATGGCACATATTTCTCCCTCCACAATGATACTCCAAATACCACTGTCTATGTCATACACATCCCATCCATTTATGTCCACGTCCTGTGCAGTCCCCATCCAGGTCCCATCCAATGATCTCTCTGCAGTCACAGTCTACAGGACTCTCAACATCCCACTGCCCTCTATGCCAGATCTCTCACAATCTGCACATTCCAGCCTAGGTCCCCACCTTCATGTTGACAAAGGCTCTCAGGTCTCCCTGTGGCAGCTCCAGCAGCAGCTGAACTAAGGCGGGGTTGGCAGCCTGCACAGCCAAATGCAGAACTGTCTTGTTGCTCTTGATCTCCTGTGGGGAGGGGAAGAGCAGAAGTCAGGGGAGTCCTCACATTCAGGCCCCCTCCCACAGAGCCCAAGAGCCTTTAGAAACCCTGCCTCTCCTCTGTAAGCACCCAGGGATGCCTTATACAGTTGTATAGGTTGTGCACTATACAAAAATGTTTAAGGGGGTTCCATTTGCATCATACAAACCACAGAACTTCACATTTACTAAGATAATTTTCCAGCCCAAGTGTCTGAGAAAAAGGCTCCTTTCCTAATCTTCCAAAGGTACTCTCTGGACTAGGAGTTGGCCTGGCCACCCCACATTCTATTAAGTACAAACGTACTCACATCCTACATGGACTGTACTTTATTTACAAAGATAAGAATTGAGCAACATTAATCAATAGACTAAACTAAGCCTATATCCATTTCCGCATTAAGCTGTTCTCTTCATACTTTGGAGCGAATAAAGCCATTTTCCACAATGAAACTTTAGTATGAGCCTTGAAGAGTTTGTAATGATAACAAACATTAAAAATGTTAGGTAGCCCTGGCTGGCATGATTCAATGGATTGAGTGCTGGCCTGCAAAGCAAAGTCGTCAGTTTGATTCCCGGGCGGAACACATGCCTGGGTTGTAGGCCAGGTCCCCGGTCAGGGGTGTACAAGAGGCAACTACATATTGATGTTTCTCTCCCTCTCTTTCTCTCTCCCTTCTTCTCTCTCTATAAACAAACAAACAAACAAAAAAATAAATATTTTTAAAAGATGTTATGTGTTTATACAAGGCAAAATAACCTTGTTGGCTCACCAAATAAATTATGAAAACAGAGATGGAGGGTGAGGCTCTAAATTAAGAGTACCTTAAGACATATCATTGCAATATGTGGGCTTTATTTGGATCCTCCAGGGTTGTTTTTTTTTTTAATGAAAAAAATAAATGTATGTCACTTGAGAGCCAAACAAAATTAGAACACAGCCAGGATATTTGACATTATAAAATTGTTAATTATTTTTAAGGTGGATATTGGGGTTAAAAGTTCTTACCTTTTAAAGACAAACAAATATTTTTGAATAAAATTATATGCTTAGATTTGCTTAAAAATACTACAGCTAGCTAGAGGAACAGATGAGATAGGACTGGGTATGAATTGCTGGTTATTGATATTTGTTTAGTACATGAAGTTTATTATACTATTTTATTTTTTCTTTTTAATATTTATATATTGATTTGAGAGAGAGAGAGAGAGAGACATCCATCTGTTGTTCTACTTTATTAATGCAGTCATTGGTATCTGACTGTGATTCTTGTATGTGCCCCAACCGGGGTTTGAACCCATAACCTTGGTTTATCAGGACAACATTCCAACCAACTGAGGTAGCTACCCAGCCAGGGCCATCATACTATTTTCTGTACTTTATCTGTATCAAAATTCTTTAAAAAACAAACAAATAAAAAAGTGGTTTTTAATTCCCTTGGCTAGCCTGTGAAAGAGGGGAAAGAGGATAATGCTGAATAATTGTTAAAAGCTCAGTTCTGGGACCAGACTAACTGGTTTCTAATCCTTTCTCTGACATTCATAAGCTGTAAGATTTTTGACACCTTGTGCTTCTGTTTCCATATCAGTAAAGTAGAAAAACAATAGCATAGGCATCATAGGATGTTTGTGAGAATTGAATAAGTTAATCTATGAAACTTAGCTATTGATGTATAATAAGTGCTTGATAAACATAAACTGAGATCAGTAATATTATTTCCAGTTGACAACTGGGGCACAGAGAAGTGATATAATGTGCTCCAGGATACATAGCTGGAAAGATGCAAAGTAAATATTTGTGCAATGTCCCCATCCCACAAGCCCTCCTTGGGGCTGGCTGCCCACAGCCCACCTCACCTGACTGGTGTGATCGGCACCCATGTGCAGCAACATCTGGACACAAGACAGCCTGTCTCGGGCCTGAGTATTTAGCACCCGGGGACACAGGTCGGGTGGGAGCATAGCAACATTGAGGGCCAGGATGGCTGTGTGGAGAGGGGTGAGGCCTACAGAATGGAGACAGTGAGCATTCTGCATCTGGAATCCACCCACCCTGCCCTGTCGCACCTGCCACATTGGCCCTATCCATAATCCAACTTACCCTCAAAGTCTCTGGCTTCTAGGTCAACCTGGACCCCTGAGTTAATCACAGCCTGGAAGGAAAAGAAGGCACAGTGGTCATTGAGGGTCCTCCCAGGACTCCTAGTCCTGGAAGCCAGGATCTGGGCAATCAGTGTACCCCACCTACCACAGCCATACCGAGAGGACCCCTGGAAGCCCATAGGCAGCAGCCACGTGCAAGACAGAACGTCCCTGATGGTCAGTAGCATTGGGCTCTGCTCCTAGGTTCAGTAGATCCTCCACAATCAGAGGCTGGTTAGCAGCAGCAGCCACCAGGAGAGGAGTCTACAGATGACAAGAAAAGTCAGTCTGAGCCCCCAGCCCACTCCCCTCTGAAAATCAGGAACCCAGACCCTCAAGCCCTCTGCCCTAAGATTCAGGAGTCCAGGCCCCTGGTCCTCACCTTGCCCTTATGCTCACGAATGTCCAGACGTCTGTACATTTGGAGCACCTCAGCCGCAGCGTATGCTGCCCAGCGCAGCCCCCGAGCTGCCAACAGGTGCAGGAGCCTGAGGACAGGTTGGGGTGGCAGTGAGTACAGCCCTCCTTCCCCCCAGACAGGCCAGGAACCCAGACTCCATTCCTCTATACTCACGTGTCTCCCTCCTCATCCTGGGCCAGCAGCTGCTGTGGCCCCAAGGCCAGCATATGAGCACGGGCAGTGTCCAGTGATGGTCCGGTGACCACAGGGGGCAACTGTGGGGGTCCTGAGGAGAGTCCAGAACCTTTCCAGGATCCCACCTGTGGCAGGGAAGGTTCTGCATAAAGCTGGGAATCCAGGGGTTCCTGAAGAGTGCAGGTGATGGGGAGAGTCAGTCAGCTGACGATTCCCTCTTTCCAACCCAACCCCACCACACACACAAGTTACACATAAAAAGTGCCCGGTAGAGTAGCTGCATGTCCCATCTGTGCCAAGTTAACTAGGACCTTTGGGCCTTAAATTTGCCCATGAGGAATGAGACCTTAACCCAGCCCCAGACCACTCAGAATGTCATGTAAAAGCAACTGGGAACGTTGGGGGCACTCCAGCACTCCATTCACACTCTGTATCTCACCTCCATTCCCAAGGGAAATGGATATGGCTGCCCTGGGTCCAACGGTGGGCAAAAATCAGGAGTCAGGAAACCTTCAGCAGCAGAAGCAGGATAAGAGTACGGGCTGTCTGTGTAGGCAGCATGTGTATTGGGGCTCCAATCTGGAAAGCCTGTCACTGGGGCCAGGCCACCAAGTCCAGAACCCACAGCCTCCTGGTATGCCGGAAAGTGAGTATGGCCTGCATGTGAGAGGAAGAGCAGGGGCAGGTCTGTTTACCAGAGTTAGGTAAGCCAGGGCCAAGGCTGAAGGACCTGTGTGAGGACCTGCAGATTCCCAAGGTACTGAAAGCTAGTACTTCTGGGACCTAGAACCCTTGGACACCAAGGGAATGGAAGTCCTAGGATGCTGAAGGGTTGAGGGCCTAGACTCCCAGAGCACCAAAAGGCTGGGAGCCTGGGCCCCTGGGACACCAAAGGACTATGTGCACAGACTACTGCACTGCAGAGAACCTCTGGTAGATCAGACTTCCACCGGGTCCCAGCAAGAATCAGAGCCTGACTCCCAATTTTCCCAAAGTTCTAAGAGTTGGGTTGTGGGTCCTTGAGAGAAGCTGGGCTGGGAGCTAAAGAAATCAAAATGAGTTTCCAGACTTACCAACCTCACCCTTGTTCACAGATGGCATCAGGGGCTGGGCCAGTGGAGGTAGGAACTGTCCCTGTAGAGACATATGCAAAAAGGAACATGGTTGAATTTATCTGGAGATTCCTCAGCATCCATTCCCCATCCATAGGGCATCTAAGTCAGGACTGTATCTCTCATCAGCCCTGAGGACCCAGCAAGCCAGCAAGTCCCTGCCCAACAGGACATAGCCTCCTGAGAATTGTAGCGGACAAGGAGGGCTTCATGGGTCTCACCGGTGCCCCACCAGCGTCTGGCTGCTGTTGGCGGCGCCTCTGTTCTTCCAGGAGCTTTTTCACCGTCTGTGACGGGCAGTGGCTGCGCTCATTCCGGCTCACTGTTAGGTGGAAGTAGGGGGAGAGGGGGAACAGAAGTAATCAGGACCCAAGTCGTGGGGGGAGGATTTGGGCACCCTCCTGCGCTCCTCACCCTCCCTCGTGGAAAAACTGGCACATTGATGCCGCCTGAGAACTCCAAAACGAATCTAAGATTTCGAATGTGGTGCCTGCCCGCCTCCGCTATTTCCTTCCTTTTGCTCCGCACTTTCCCCTCTGACCCAACTTTCCACCAGCATCATGGAAACTGAGGACTGGGGAGGAAGGTGCCCCTCTGTGAGCCCCCACCCCCACCCCCGACTTCCGTGAAAAATCCCACCTCCAGATCTCCCAGTCCTGAGGCCTCAGGTGTTGTCTAGTATCAGATCCTGGACACGCACCTCCAGGCTCCCAACATCTTTCTGCCCAAGACGCTGCCCCGCAGTATCCCCTGCCCCTCTCCTGGGAGAACCAAGAGTCTAACTCCCTGGAGCTCCTCCGAGATCCAGAGGTTCAGACCTCATGCCCACTTTCAGACCTAGGAGTCCAAGCCCCATCCCGCAGGAGTCTGGACCTTCAGCATCCTCCTCCCTACGACCTGGAAGTCCCAGTTCCCAGACGCCTCTTCCACACAACGGAGAGGGGTCCGTACACTCAACCTTCACCCTCCAGAGTTCCGGGGGAGGAAGGGTTAAGGGAGGAGGGAGACGCGGAAACGGCCCCGAAGCTACGCGCTGATGTCACGACGCTCCCGCAAGGGAATCTTCCATTTCCCTCTTCCTCTCTCAGTCCCGCCCCAGGGGTCCGGTTTACAGGCGCGGCGTGCGGCCAGGCGTAGCTCGCGCGGAATCCCCGCACGTGGGGAATTCCAGCTCGGTCCCGGAACCTGGGACGGGTGGCGACTTGGCAAGTCCCGGAGGGGTGGGGGGCAGAATCACGGCCGACGTGGGCCCTGCAGCCAGGCGCTGGATCTTCCCACTGAGACCTGTGACTAATTTTAAACAACCAGGCCCCAAGGACTCAATCCTGCGGGGATTTCTAGGGAAAGGAATCCCGGCTGCCAGCCCCTTCCTCCCACAGGATCAGGAATCCGGGCCCAGCGCCCTTTCATCCCCAGGACCCGGATCCCAGTCCCCTTACCCCTAGGACCAAAGAACCCAGAATGGCAGCCGCTCCTTCATCGTGACCCCGGAATCCTGGCCCTTTCTCCTCTCCGAGCACTCGGCACCCTCAGTCTCAGAACCCAGAAGCTGATAATCCAGCTCTGTCCCTCAGGACTCCAAGAATCCGACTCCCAACCCCTCACTCTTCTGGGGCCGAGTGGGCCTCACCTCCAGTCCCTCCATTACCTCGGGGATTCCGTTGTGCAGACTGCGGGCCCCCAGGGCCCCGGCCTCGCCGCTGCGCCAGTCTCGCTGTTAACCCGCGGAGCCGCCGCCGGGTCCCCGATCTTGGGCCCTGCCAGCCGCGAGTTTTTAAACTTGGTCTGGCACCGCCCGTCAAGAATAGAGCCCCGCCCACAGCCCGGGAGTCCCCGAGTCGCGCTCTAACAAACTCAGGCTCTGAAGTCCGGGCTGACCTTGAGCGCCCAACTTGAGAGTGTTGGAAGAGAGAGATGGTAGGCTCCCTGGCTTTGGTCTGCGGAAAGAGAGCCTGGGATACTGGACTCCTGAAGGAGGAGAAGGGCACTGGGTACCTGGACTTAATGGGACTCTGTCCAGGGGGTGCTGGAGACCTCAACTCCTGGGCCCCGGGCTTGTGCCGGGGATGCGTGCAATATTAGAGGGTTGTGGGAGAAGAGGCCTGGGATCCAGACTTCCTGGTCTCCGGGGAGGAAAGGTCTGTAGGTAGGTAAGAGTAATAAAGGTCAACTCAAATTTCTCCCTTTTCCTCGCATCACCTTCTCCTTTTTCAGAAGTCAGTTCTCATTTAATTCACTCATCACTTAAAATAATGTATTACTGCAGGGAAAGCACTTTGCTAGATGCTGTGGTATAGTTGTGAACTAAGCTGTAAGGAATTCCCACCCTCGAGCTGACTGACATTCCAGGGAGAGGCTGTTCTCAGTTTCCCTCTTGGTTACTATCCACAGCACTGACAAGCGTTAATCCTATTTCTCCCCTGCTTCCAGGAATCCATGCTCTCCTGGTGGTTCTTCTCTCTCACTTGCTGTTCCTTCTCAGTTTCCCTGGCTGTTTCCTCCTCTTCACCCATTCTTGGGGTTGGGGGAGGGAGTGGTTCTCTATTTGTACTAACTTCCTTGGTGATCTCATCCACTCTCTGGCTTTAAATACCATCCATAGGCCATCAAACCCCAAATTTACATCTCCAGACCAGTCTTAACCCCTGAACTCAAAAAGGCAGCTGTGGTCATTCAACTTTTCCACAGGGAGATCTAGCAGGCATTTCCAACTCATTGTGCCCAAACCTCCAGCACTTCCCCTCCACCATCCCATCAAAGGATGCTCTGTCTTTTCAGTTGCTCAGTCAGAAATTTTGGTCATTCTGGATCCCTCTCTCCCATCCATACAAACCCTCATCTACCCCATCAACAACTTCTGTTGGCTCTACCTCCAAAATCTTTCCAGAATCTCCCCAATGCCCACACCCTGGTCCACCTGTCACCTCCCACCTGGACAATCATATCAACCTCCCTGGCCTTTGACCCTTCCCCTAGTTTGGCCCCAAAGGCAGACACAGGGACCCACCATCTTTCCCCCGGTATCCTACTGCCTCCCCCACCCCATCCCAACACACGCACACACACACAGGAAACAATTGGCATTGCTACTGAGACCAAATAGTAAGAAACTAGGAGAATTCCTTGGCAAGTGGAACAAGGAAACTGAGACAGATAGCTGAACAAGTAGGCCAAGCAATTTACAGCCAGATACAGGAGTTCACCTCCCTGGTGATAACATCTAGGCCTCTATTGTATTTCAGCTCCAGGCCCAGAAAAGCAGCAAAAGCATGTGGGCAGATGCCTGGACCAGCTCCGGCACTGACCAATTAGTAGAGACCAAGACCTAAAAAAGCACACCTGGAAAACTGATAAATATTCTGCTGAAACCCTCCCCTAAGACATACCATGAGATTCCTGCCTGCAAGAGAGAGGTAAAAGCCTTGAGACAAAGAACTGAGAGAGTGAGTTCTCCCTTTGTGGAGTAGACTGTGCCATTTCCATTTCCCTCTTCTTCCCCGACAGGCACAAGTCTCCTAAACTCTAAGGGGCCCTGAGACTTAAGGGAGCCATGGGCAGCAGCTCATCCCAGGCTAATCCCCTGGACCTGTCCTAAGGCCCACTTGTCTCTGATTTCCAAGTGAGCTAAGGCAGCCCAACTCAGGCTCTCCTATTGCTTGTTCTATGCTCAGCCCTTCCTTGTTTCACTGTCCCCAGCTTTAATAAATGTATCCTTGTAGTCACCTGGACTCGTGTTGTGAAATCTTTCCTACATGGAGTCAAGAACCCACACACTACAGGCTGACCCACTCAGGGCCAGGTCCCCTGTCTGGTAACTTTGTCCCCATAGGCAATGACAGGGATCCATCATCTCTTCTCCTCCCCCCACCCAGGAAGCAGTTGGCTTTACCACCAGCAGGGTGACATCCGCTTTTGCTACCACTCTATTGCCCCATTGTTCCTCAGAACCTGTCTGGACTACAGCCTTCGCCAGACCCCTTCCAGCCCCCAGCCCACCATGATCCCTCCAAGCAACATGGTGCTCCTGCTTTTACTCCCAGGTGAAGCCAGCAGTTACGGGAAGGGGGAGTGTCGGCCAGATTATTTGTGAAAGGGGTAACTTCCGAGGCATCTGAAGGGAGGGGTGATGAGAGTAGATCCTTCTCTCAGTGCCCCTTCCCTTCCCTTAACCCTTCCCGCTTCCCTTCCCTAAGATGCATTTGGCCTGGTTCTTTGGGGAGGGAAGCTGAGTTCTGGAGTGCTTGCCTGTTAATCTCCTTCCTCTTCTCACTGCTGCGTCTCTCTGCTTCTCATTTCCTGTCTCTCTCTGCTTCTCCAGGAGCTCCTCTTTCACATTTGATCTTTTGGAATGGAGCTTGCTTCTGAGGACATAACCTCACCCTGAACTTTATTTTGGGAACCACCTCTCCCCACTGATTACCTTCCCTCTCTTTCCACAGTGGCTGCTGCTCAGATAATCCCAGGTGAGAAATCAACACACCCACTTTACCATGCTTCTTCAGGTACTGTTTCCATCCCTAAAGTGGGCTTGCAGATTCTGAAATACCCCCAACTTTCCAGGTCACCATTTCACCTCTCATCCCCAAATCAGAGGGGTCTGGAGCCCTCTCCAGATCCATATCTCACTGCCCTCTTCACCTAGTTGAAGTCCCAGGGACTCGGCCAACACCTTCCCTCCCACCCCCCACCCACCCCCACCCCACCTCTCTTCAGGAGTACCCACTATGCCCAAAGCACAGCATATGTCTCACTATGCTGTGATACTCCCGACTCTCTGGATCTCCATCTCCCTTTTCATGCCGGCCGCAGGGAACCTGGGTCACCCCTCAGGGCCTTCCTCTACCCATATGACCAAAGCACAGTCCTGAAAGCCTGAAACCCCCCTTAACCATCTTCTTGTTTTGGCCCCCAACCTCCAGGTTCCTATTCCGGATGTGGGCCCCTCCCCGTGCCACTCCTTGTAGGCCTTGTGGCTGCTGATGCCATGGTATCTCTGCTAATCGTTGTGGTGGTGTTTATGTGTGCCAGCCCACGTGACAGGCCCACCCAAGGTGAGGGCAGAGACAGGGCAAGGCCTGGAGTGGGGGTGGTGTCCCTAGGGAAGAGGTTTCCCTGGAGGGCCCCACCTCCCCCTGGGGAAGCCCTGGAGGTGCTGCTGGGGAAACCCTGGGGGTGCTGCTAGGGGAACTCCTGAGGAAACCCCTGAGGCAGGGGGTCCCCAGGGAGGTGGAGATGTAGGTGGGTAGTGGGTGGTCAGGCCTGATGTTTTCTCTCCCCCACCCCCAGAAGATGGTAAAGTCTACATCAACATGCCTGGCAGGGGCTGACCCCCTGTAACTTCAACCTTTGACTTCTGACCCTTTTATTCTGGATTGTGTGTGATGGCACAGGAAACCCACTCCCCCATTTGGGTTGGAATAAAGCAATTGAAATACCTCTACTTCTAAATTTTCCTCGAAGAACCGAGGGTCCCCAAAGCTTCCTTCCTATTTAGTTATTTCTGGGTGCATGACCTACCCTCCCAGAAATCCACATATCCCCATCACCTCAGCCCAGGGATCTGGAATAACTCAACAGTGTTTTGTGCTCCATGTTTATTTGGGGGCAGGGGTGTGGGAAAGTGAGATATTTCAGAGAGAGCACTCTGTAGATCTGTATCTCGGTTGGACTAGGAACAGGGTACTGGGTAGGCATCAGGAATGACTGGATCCAGATATCAGGTTGTTGACTGCCATGGTTTGGGCTCATTTGTAATACTGCCTCTGTGTGTTGAGGTCACTGTAAACATCTGACCTCTGACCTTGGAGCTCCTAAAGGGATGGACAGAGTGGGGACCATCAGCGGAAGGGGTCCACCAAATAAACATAAAATACAATCCAACCTTCTCCCAGTGGCCTGCAAGTCCCCTGGTAGCTTCTTCAACCTTGCATCCATGTTAGACATCTAGATTTAAGTGCCTTCAAAGTCCTCTTTTCTCCTCTGCCTCATCATTATGCCCCAGCCTCAGGGCCTTTGCACATACTACTCTGCCTGGAACACCAGTCCCCTAAGTATTCTCATGAATGGTTCCTTCTCCCCCTTCAAGTCTTAGCTCATGTAACTTCCTCAGAAAGGCATTTCTTAATTTCCCCATCTGTGGTTTCTTCCCCCCACACCTCAGTCACTGTCACATCAGCCTGCTTTATTCCTTCATGATGCCTTTCCAAATGATCTTATTTGTTCATTTGCTTCAAGTCTGTCTCCCCAACTAGGACGTAAGCTCTGCTGCTGTGTCCTCAGTATCTTGTACACATAAGTGCTCAACAAATAAAGTGGAGCAATGCTTTACCCTAATATTTCACTGCCCACGGGAACTGGAAAGCCCCTTCAGTCCTCTGGACTCACAGAGCCAAACTAAAGATTCTTACACTTTACAAAGAAACTTTTTATCACAAACGAGGCAAAGCAAAGCTGGTTGCAGACAAGTAAAACAGATTTCACAGAGCAGGGCTTGTTGTTATAGAGGGGGGTGGGGTCTATGGCCCCAAAAGGCAGGTATCACAAAGAACCCCTGGGGGGACCCCTGAAATCATATGCCTATAGTCAGACTGGATGTTTATATATGCACCCTGGGGAGGGATCTATTTGGTTGCCATTAGATTCACAGAAGAGTTCATGACCCCCTAAAGGATTAAGAGTGATGTTGACAGAGAGGCAGGAGACAGAAAGATCCCTCTATCTGCATCGTGGTTCTTAAGGATTTCAAAGATATTTAAACCACTCCTAGATTATATGCACAATTTTCTATTTTTTGTGTGGATTTTTCAGAGGAGTCTCTAGCTTTCATCAGCTTTTCAAAAGGATGCAGGATCCCAATCCCCCCCCCCCCAAATTCTAGAACTACTCTCTTTAGAGTTACCAAACTAATATTGAATTATATCATCTGCACTGATGAGAGCTTCTCCCAGAAATCAGCCTGTCCTAGGTTGGGCTTTTCCAGAACAATTCAGAGACTGCCTTCTGGCTAAGGCCTGCGTTTGCCTTTGCAAACGCAAAATATCCCTATATTTCCTCTCCACATATTTTAAGCTGAGCATAAGATCATGATTAATCACCGAAATTAGTTTTGGACAGATGTCCCATTAGTCTTCAAGGGTGTGAGGAGCTTCAAGAAAGTGGTTTTAGAGTCTAGGTTCTAGAGGGACTTGGGGTAGAGCAGCATTTAGGACAGACACCCACAGGGCAGGATTGAGATGGAGGAAAAAGAAGCTAGTTTCCTCACCTGATAAGGTGACTCTGTCTCAGTGATGTGCTGTTTCTGGGTCACTGCTAGGGGTGGAGAGTGGCACAGGGTAAAGAGACAGACAAGGCGGTAAATTGAGATGATCTGGTTGATGTAAAATCAGCCCCTTCATCATCATCCCCACGGATGGTTGTGACTTGGGAGCTTATCCCTCCCCTCCAGGCAATCCCCAGAGGGCCCCATCCCCTTCCATCCCCACTCACCCTCCACAGCTCCTCGCCCTCGAGGGACCAGCCGGCCAAGAGAGTACACAGCCAAGGCAATGAGGAGGGTGAGCACCAGGTCCCCCAGCACAATACCAGCCAGCACACCAGGACTTACTCCTGAGCAGTTGCATTCTGGAAATGTATATGGCACAGATGTCAGGGGAGATCAGTAGGAGTTGGAAAATTGGGAGGAGGTGTCAGCAGGAGGAGAGTTGGAGAGATTTGGGAAGAAATGGGGAGGTTTTTTGGAAGTAGGGAAGGGGATTTCAGGGTCTAGGCCTACCGCTCTGGGCCTGGACAGGGATGAGACCTGAGGAGAGAAAAAGAAGGTAAATTGGGGTATGGGGCTGTGACTGGAGGATGGGCATGGTAATTTACCTAAAGGTAAATTTGGGCATGGAGGATGGAAGCTGGGAAGGTTGAATCTTGCTAGGGGGCCAGGGTGTAGAGCAACCTCTGGTAAGGCCTGTGGCCAACATAAAGTTCACCGGACTGTGTAACTTCTACATAGACTTGTCCTGTTACAACACTCTTAGACTCCCATTCCTTGTCCTCTGCTTCTACCAGAAGCCAAATATTGGAGTCTCAGGTTCTGGGAGAGACCCACAGGGTTTGGGGGGCTGGAGATCTGCTCCTATCCCAATCTTCCCCTTTGGTTCTCTCCTCCCACCCTGCTCCCTCCCTGCCTTGCCCCGAGCCAAGCCCAGGGACTCTGGAGGCAGCTATAGAAGCTCTCAACTCACCACCCACAGTCAGAAGAAGAGGCAGGAGCAGGAGCCTGTTGGAGGGTCCAAGGCCCCCCATGATGCAGGCGACACTGCTGGATATGATAGTCCAAGGGCCAGTGGGATGTGGCCAACCAAGCGAAGGAGGAAGTCTGAGGTGGGTGGTGGCAGGAGGGAGGAGGGGACAACCGGGAGGAGGGACAGAGACAGATAACACCAGAAAGAATCAAGCCCAGATACTCCAGGGGCAATGCTATAGCCCCCAATGGCTGGACATGAAGGCCAAAGGGTATATATATGAACTTGACCTCCATCCCCAATCAGGGGGTCACACATTGTAACAGGAAGATCAGTGGCTGGCTATGATTGAAGCCAGGTCTTCCTGGCTGAGCAACCTTAAGCAAGTCTGTCAACCTCTCTGGGCCTCAGTTTCCTCATCTGTAAAATGGGGAATAAAATAGTACCTGTTTTATAGAGAGTTGTGGGTCAAATAAATTAATGTTTCTAGAACAGCGGCTGATATCTGTCATCTTTTTGTAAGTGCTGGCTATAATTATTAGATAATCAGAACCTTGTGATGTTCATAGCATAGTAAAGAGAGCCATCAAGATATGGAAACTAGCCCTGGCTGGTGTAGCTCAGTGAATTGAGCGCGGGCCTGCGAACCAGAGTATCGCGGTTCGATTCCCAGTCAGGGCACATGCCTGGGTTGCAGGCCAGTTCCCAGCAGGGAATGCATGAGAGGCAACCATACATTGATATTTCTCTCCCACTCTTTCTCCTTCCCTTCCCCTCTCTCGAAAAAATAAATAAATAAAATATTAAAAAAATAAAAAATGCTAAAATTAAAAAAAAAAGATATGGAAACTAATAATGTGCAGGCACTCTGCCCCAAGTGCTGACTCATTTAACCCAACTACACCCTTCTGACATTGATGCTCTTAACCCCATTTTACAGAAAAGTAAACACACTTGCCCAAGATCACACAGCAAATAAATGTGGAAATGGAACCCAGAACTTGAAGACAGATACTTAACCCTTAGAGAGAAAGCAAGAAGAGCGGAGATAGGGAGAAAATGATGATAAGATAGAGAGGCAAAGGAACAGACAGTGACACAGATACACGCATCACAGACACAAGACTGGGGGTTAGGGTGAGGCAGGTGGGGGACAATGCAGTGACAACTGTGCTGTGCTGGGCTGGGCTGCTTCATCAGATGAGGAAGTGGCTGGAAATGAGGACTGAGGGAGGCCACCCAAAAGGAGAATGGGACTTCTGGCCCTCAGCAGGAGGGCTGGGGCTAGGGCTGGGGAAGGAGGAACCTGAGGTTAGGGCACTGGGGGGATGGGCCAGCAGCAGGAAGCCCCCCCCCCCATCCAGGCGTCACACCCCACAGCTGCCTGGGCCTGGGCTAAGACGAGAAAAGGGGAAACTGGGTGTTGGTCATGGGACAGACTCTGAGTGGCCCGCTGCTGGGGTGGGGTGGGGGTAGGGGAGATTTGGAGTCTGAAAGAGAGAGTCGCAGCCCAGACTGAGGCAGCACTGGCTGCTGACAAGGAGAAAATTCTGAGACCTCTGAAATTAAATTACATCAGGCCATGGGTGGTAGGAAGAGGCAAGAAAGATTAATCAGTTAACAATTGAAGGGCAAAAGCAACAAAAGCCTGTTTACATTCCTAAATGTAAATATACTGAATTAACTTCCAGCAGGCTATTTCTTCCATTATCCAGAGAACAGCCAAGTGAATAGCCAACCACAAGACACCACTGGCTCAACTTTTTGTTTACACATGAACTTTTCAAATTGTTGTCCACAATCAATCCAAAGGAGCAAATGTTTTGTCCTTATAGACAATGAACCTATCCTATCTCAGAACTAGCCCTGCCTCAACTTCTACCATCCTCTTTATCAGGTACCCAATGTAAATTCTCTAAAAAAAAAAACAAACTCACATCTTTCTTCTCTAGGCTCATTGTATAAAAGAGCCCTATCAACTCTAGGATGGCGGATATGTTGTCTTCTCTCTCTAGCCCTGCTGCTTGTGGTTTAGACCACATGGCCTAGGACCTGGTCCTTTTCTAACTAGAATTTGGCTCAGTAAACCCTTTCTATCAGAAAAGCTTTCAGCTGTGAAACTTTTTTGTTTAATACTGCTAATAGCTGCCATTGTCCATGACTGGCTAAGTCCTTTTGCTAAAGAACCAACATCTCCGCCACCATCACCAGCACCAGGTCTGGTGTGAAGAAGGAGAGAACAGGCCCTTCAGGCTCTACTGGCCCCTCAGACCACTCCAGGTGAATAGAGCAGAGTCAGCTAGGGACAATCTGGGACCAGAGGAGCTCTGAGCTAGTAGGGCCCTGATCTGACTCAAGCGATCATCAGCTTCCTTTGGCTTGGCATGAGGATCAGCAGGCTTTGGGATGCCAAGAGGAGATCAGGGGGCCCTGGTGAAACAATGGTCTGGTTTGTTGTGAGGATTTGTGATGTTTATCAGAATAATGCCTGTCTGGCACACTCAATATGCTCAATGAATGTTAGTTATTATCATTATTGTTATTGTTTATAGTACTTCAAGTCTCCAGTTCTGAACTCACCTTGATAAAAATCATCCCTCAATCCCTTAGCCTCAGGCTCAGCCTCATCCTCAGCCTCCTGATCAGATATTCCCAGCTCCTGCTGTTGTCTGTGGAAATTAGGCTCTTCCACGGGATCACAAGGAAAAAAATTCCAGGGACTGATGCACAGGAGATTGTGATGTGGCATGGTTTATTTTGGTGGAAATAGAAGCTGCCCCTTGCTTTCCAATGTCCCTCTGTCCCACCATGGAAAATCAGGGCCAGAAATAGAGTCAATGTCCAGAGATTCTGTGTCATATTAAAGTACAATCCAGTCCAGTATCGGATAGCTCAACGTGTGTTTCTAGCTGCAGTCCATTTCAGGCTCCCCACTGGAGCCTGTGTGTGGAGTCTGCATGGCCATGGGCTATGTGGCTGCTGAGGCCACATGGCCACGGAGAGAACAAGTGCAATACTGAGGCAGGGGCAGAGAGAGGGAAAGATTCTTTGTTTCCCTGAGAATATATTAGCTAGGGCTTAGGATGGACCAGGTACCTTCTCAAAAGGACCTATCAATTTCCCAAGCTTTTGTAGGTTTTGGATAGGTCCACACCCCCTAGTTAGACTGACAGTCCTCCATGGTTCAGCACCTCCCCCTGTGCTCCCCCAACAATCTGGTACTGGAGGAAGGGAAGGGAGAAGTTTTAATGTGCATGGTAGAGAAATGCTATGTTCCCCTGGGATGTGAAAAGCTGTAGCTTCCTGGTGAAACAAACAGTCTATGCCTCCCAGTTTGTAAAACTCAATGTCTACTTCCCTTTGCTTCCCTTTTCTTGGTAAATATCTACAGTAACACAGCCAGGTCTGGCTGTTCCCAGAATTCAGTCTATTAGCCAGCATATCCAGTTAGAACAGGTGTGGCCAGAGTCCTGAACCCCGCTTTAGTTACTGAGATGTGGGGGAAGTCCAAGGTGTCCCAAGGGAATGGACTGAGGTGATGATAGATGACAGAGCTAGGTAGGCCTTGGAAGAATAGAAAATCACCAGGCAGGAAAACTGTACCGTGGGAAACTGTAGCCTGGGAAAATGCCTGCCTGGGAAACTGCCTGCCGCCCCTACCCAAGACAAACCCAGCTATGCTATGACTGGGGTTTGGAGTCAGTGTATCCTGCATAATAGGATGCAGCTTTAACTTGGGGCTGACAAGATGTATCAAGAACAATGGTCAGCAGAAATGGCACCCAGCAACCAGCTCTAGCCATCAGACTCTAACACGCCAACCAGTTACCCTTCCTGGCGTTTTGTGCTTTAAAAAACCTGTCCTAAGAACAACTGAGCGAGTCCTAACTTCCCTTGGTTGGCTCCACTTTCTCCATTTACCAAGTCCCAACCTCTCTAGGTTGCCTCCACTTTTCCTCTTATTCCCCACTAATAAACCCTGCGCCTTAGCTCGTGTCTGTCTGATTTCTTGAGCAACTCCATCCTAACAATAGTTATCTGTGGGAAGTGGGGTAGAGGCTTTTTACCAACCAAAAGAGAAGTAACAGTATTTTAGCAACCAGTTTAACTGTACTGCTGAAGACCACAGAATGCCAGCCTGTGCTGATCTCCATTGCTTCCATTTCACTAGGTACAGAAAAAGGTTAAGAAGTAATTGCATTCATCTGATTGAGTGCTACCCCACCCCCACAGTGCCAGATTCCAGGAAGCAGTTCTATCCCACCTCCCCCCATTAGATCTTTCTTTTTTTTTAAAAAAAAAAGATCTTTCTTATATTTGATTGATTATGCCATTACAGTTGTTCTATTTCCCCCCTTCATTCCCCTCCACCCTGCACACCCCTCCCACACCATTCCCCCCTTTAGTTTATGACCACGTATCTCAAGTTCTTTAGATTCTATATTTCCCCTATTATTCTTGCCCTCCCCCCATCTGTTTTCTACCTACCGTCTATACTACTTATTTTCTGTACCTTCTCCCCCCTTCTCCTTCTCCCACTCTCCTGTTGCTAACCCTCCATGTGATCTTCATTTCTATGGTTCTGCTCCTGATCTAGCTGTCCTCTTAGTTTGCTTTCCTTTTAGGTGTGGTTGTTAATAACTGTGAGTTTGCTGTCCTTTCACTGTTCATCTTTTTTATCTTCTTTTTCTTAGGTAAGTCCCTTTAACATTTCATATAATCAGGGTTTGGTGATGATGAACTCCTTGAATTTGATCTTACCTGAGAAGCACCTTATCTGCCCTTCTATTCTAAATGAAAGCTTTGCTGGATAGAGCAATCTTGGATATAGGTCTTTGGATTTCCTGACTTGGAATACTTCTTTCCAGCCCCTTCTTGCCTGTAGGGTCTCTTTTGAGAAATCAGCTGACAGTCTGATGGGAAGTCCTTTGTAGGTGACTGTCCCCTTATCTCTTGCTGCTTCTAGGATTCTCTCCTTCACTTTAATCTTGGCTAATGTAATTATGATGTGCCTTGGTGTGTTCCTTCTTGGGTCCAACTTCTTTGGGACTCTCTGAGCTTCCTGGATTTCCTGGAAGTCTATTTCCTTTGCCAGATTGGGGAAATTCTCCTTTATTATTTGTTCAAATAAA